GTCTGCGGGGACGTCTTTTTGTTCACTGCGACACCTACGCAGACAACCTAGTTTCGAACTATAAATCAGCCTTTAGTCCTCAACGTAGCCGACCTGGGTTTGAATCCGACCTTTGGTCCTTTCCCGCATGTTTCTCCCCCTCTCTCATATCCCCTTTCCTGTCAGCCTACTGTCCATAAAACGAGCCACTAGTGCTGAAAAAACACAAAAAGAACTAAAAAAACAGGAGGAGAGACATGTGGCAGAAGACCACAGGCCGGATGTGGACCCGTTCTCAGACAACCACTTGTGACCAAGCATCCAATAAAAAGATGGATCTTAAAGAAACTGATAATATTCCGATGATTAGTGTTATTTCCACAGATGTGGTCTTGACTGGTCTTGAAATAAAATGCAGAGTCCTCAGCGCCCGAGATCGAGACAAGACCGAGACCAAATGCGGTCAAGTCCGAGACGAGACCAAGACCATCAAAAAATGGTCTCGAAACCGGTCTCGAGACCAAGACCAATCTCAAGTACTACAACACTGCCTTTCAAGTCACATAGAATCTGACTTCTTCCAATCTGATCTGGGCCACATTTGGAGGACGTTTCAAATCCGATGCTGGTCGGATCTTTTGGAATGCAACTGCGGTCTGATCTGACCAAAGATCAGCCCTGCCAACTTTCCCTTCTATCAAATTAGGAGCATTAATTCTGGTTTTCTCATCTTTGATGTGAACAATACGTTACTGTTTTTGTCAGATTTTGGTTAGTATATAAACAATTACAATGCCAAAATAGTTAGGACATTTCAGTGTAGAATATCATTGCTAGGTGGCGGAGCCCTGGACCACAGACATTTTATAAATAGACGAAATGTTTCAAATGTTCACATATGCAAAAAAAATTATAAAAAAACGTAGTTTAGACAAGTTTATAAGGACAAAAAGCCTTTAGTTAGACACAACATAAATTTACCATTCACTATGATTTGACAAAAATGTCTTGACAATTAAAAAAATTAATAAAAATTAACATAAAATTAATGAAAAAAACTAAATATTAATTTAACTCTCGTGTAAGTCACATTACAACACATTTTCCTCTATAGATCATAATACTCATTATCAAAGCGCAATCCTTAAAAATACTGAATAATAATAATAATAATATAGTATCTATGAATATATTATATGTGTAAAATATAATCTTATAATATATTAATTTAAAAAATTCTGTTTATTGTATAAATATTTAATCGCAAACTATATAACTATGCATATATCTCATCCAGTTTGACTTCAGTTTAAATAGTTTTTAATCAATAAATCTGTGTAATCTAACTGAAAGGTCATTTTAAAATTAGTTTGTGTCTTTTAGGGGGTTGTGACATGGAAGAGATTATTGTAATATTATCTCTGAT